GGAGATGCGTGGTGTTGCAGTGGCGGCGTCAGCAGCCCCGAAGAAGGGTCTGACAGGTTCAGCAGCAGCAGCAGCAGCAGCAGCTGCTGCTGCTGCTGCTGCTGCTGCTGCTCCTGGTGCAGCACCTTGTGGTTTGGGGGCCCTTGCCGAGCTAGCAGAGGGAGAGGTGAGCAGCAGAAGCAGCCTGGGGAGCTCATCGAGCAACAACAGCAGCAGCAACAGCACCTGCACCTCTTCTCCTGCTCCGTGTCAGTCTCCTTTCTCCTTTGCTGGAGCTGCAGCAGGATGTGCAGCAGCAGCAGCAGCAGCAGCAGCAGCAGGAGCAGCAGCACTTGGTGCAGCAGTGCAGCAGGGAGGACCCCAAGGCAGAGACTTGCTAGATATAGGGGCGGGCCAAGACATCGAAGATAAGACGAACCGTGTGCAGCACCAAGCCGACAACAGGCAGCAGCAGCAGCAGCAACAGCAGCAGCAGCAGCAGCAGCAAAAAGGGGCAGCAAACTATCTCTCCGTCACGCCGCCCCCCCAAGCAGCCGTGGGGCCCTCCTGGGTTTTTGAGGGGGGGGCCCTATGCCCAGACTACCCTGTACAGGCTGCAGCAATTCACGGGAGAGAGCAGCAGCAGCAGCAGCAGCAGCAGCAGCAGCAGCAACTGCAGCAGCAGCAAGGGAGACTTCTGGGGCAACATAGCAAGACACTGATGCAGCAACGCCACCTCTCAGGACAGAAAGCAGCAGCACTTCCACCGCTAGCTAGGAAGCTGCCGAAGGGTGTGCAGAGACAGCTAAGACAGCAGCAGCAGCAGCAGCAGCAGCAGCAGCAACAGCAGCAGCAGCAGCAACAGCAACAGCAGCAGCAACAGCTGCTGCTGCTGCACTCGCAACGCCAGGGACGGTACAGTCACAAAGAACTGCAGCAACAGCAACAGCAAACAGCACAGAGCCACAGGCGGAGGCCTCTGCTGCAGCAGCAGCAGCAGCAGCAGCAGCAGCAGCAGCAGATGCAGACAGCCCACCAGCTGTACTCTTGGATGCCGCGTCAGCAGCGGCTGCCATGGGATGGGTTGCAGCAGCAGCAACGACAGCAGCAGCAGCTGCAGCAGCACCAGCTCAGTGGGAGTCTCCAGCATATTCTTTCTCAGCAGCCAAACCTACCGCAAGAAGCTGTGCTGCTGCTGCAGCAGCAGCAGCAGCAGCAGCAGCAGCAAACAAGTGCTGGCGTCATGCAGGACGGTATCTGGCAGCAAGAGCAGCACCATCTCCACCCGCTAACCCCAGACAGCGCTACTGTGTTTGATAGAGAGCTTGGTGGTGACCCGGCGAACCTGTTGCTGCAGCCGCTGCAGCAGCAGCAGCTGCAGCAGCTGCAGCAGCAACAGCTGCAACAGCAACAACAGATGCAGCAGCAGAGAACAGCAAAGGACGCAGCATTCGGATCGCAACACGCACAGCAGCAGCAGCAGCAGCAGCAGCAGCAGCAACCGGCAGCATGGAAGGCAGATAGGCTTTTGTCTCTATGGGACCAGCCTGATGTG